AATAGTAATAATAATAATAATAATAATAATAATAATAATAATAATTATTATTATTATAATTGATATTAACCATAATTATGATAAGTAAGTCATTGTTATTAGTTAACTAAAATAAACATGTTATAAGTAATAAAGATTTAAATTTATGGATAAAGATATGCATGAGTTTGTAGATGGAAATTTTAACTTTGAGAATTTAAACCAATATATATTTGATCAAGTGGGTGGTGATCCCTATAGTATTATGTCTTGGTAAAACTTATTTATTGAACTAGTCACAAAACTTATCAAAATTCGATCATAAAAGGAAAAATTATATTGGAATATGATTGTACGATTATTTTTTTTTTTATAATTATTCTCACTTATTTTGTGTTTCTTGTTTTGCTCGATATTATTTTTTTATAAAAAAATATATAAATTGATTAAAGTAAATGGTTACTCCAAACCTTGAACCATTCACAACATCCGATCATATATCATATTCCAAGGATTACAATGGACTATAAAAATCTAAAATAATATTGTCACATTTATAGGATAAGCTCCATTAATATCACTATTCAATTAGTCAAAGTCAATCATCCTTGATAGTTCTATGCTTACCACGTTCACTCTCCTGCCAACTAATCATTTTTAATTTGTTATATAATATATAATCTTCCTCCTTGTGAAATAAATGTAGGAAATAAGAAAGAGGTTTGTGAAAAAAATAATAAAAGAAAAGAATCTTTCCTTCTCTTCTAAACAGTTTTGATAAAAATGTTAGTAACACTGATTTGTAATCAGGTGTATGTGTAATCAATATACTTATTTTTTTTAAACTCCCTACACTTTAGTATTATATGATGTGTTATTTGATTAAGTTAATATAATGTTAATTTTTTTTAAAAAATAAGATAACTAAATGATTAGTTATAATTTATAATTAAAAAAGGGTCTTACACAGATAGTCAAACTCAAAACTTTACTTAATCATTGCTTAATCCGAATCAACTTCACATCATGAGCTTAATAAAATTAAAAATTGTTATATATAATATAATAATTTATTAATTTTTATAATAATTATTTTAAATATTATATATCGACAAGATAATAAAGTTAATTTTCTTATACCAGCTTTATATAGAAATTAAGATTTAAAAATTATTTTTTATTAATAAATGTTAATTGGAAAATTTGAATCCATTCTATTCCTTCTACTCCAGTCCAATCCAATGTTCATCTTCTAGACTACCTTATAACTTTTTTAAGATTGTATGTTATTAATATATATTGGTTTTTAGGGTTGGGTGGATAAGAAACATGAGAAAAGGAAGAAAAAGCAAAAGTGGCGGTGACCAATGGGTTGTGGAAACTTAAAAAGTTAAAATTAGTAATCTTTTTTGGTTGAAATTATTTTGGTTTTCGTTTGAGAATTGACATGTGACGATGGCCCAAAGAGTTTGGCGGAACAAGTGGCGACAACCTCATAATGATGTTATATATTAAACAACACTCATGCATGTTCTCCATTGAATTTCATGATCATAATCATGTTCACCATTGATTCCACATAGATAATGCAATATTTATCATTGACAGCATTAATCGTTCGAGTGAAGCATTATTAATACTTCGTAAAATCAAATGTTGTCCGTTACATTAATATTTTAATGTTTCCGAAACATACTGCCAGTTTGCTCCATTTTTATTAATAAGAAGATATTATTGTTTTTTTTTTGTGTGCATAGTATGATCTCTACGTACTTGTTTCTCTTATTGTATAATAATCTTATAATTAAAAAAAATAGAATATTCATTTCACCAACTCACAAGGTTTTTAATCGATCTCTTGTCTTCAATAGTCCCAAAATTAACTGTTGTAAAAACCATATTCATTAAATATAATCAAAACCAATAACAGAATCATATAAATCAAGGGGCGAAACCAAATCATAAAGCTTTATATTGTCATATACGACAAATCGGTGACATTTTTTAAAAATGTTGGTGAATTTTCTAAAGTTATTATAAAAAAAATGTTTATTTCTTAAAAAAAAAAAAAAAAAGGAGAGAAAAGGTTGGATGTTAACATTTGCGTCATATTTTTGCTTATTTGAGTTTCTTAATATATTTGACTCCACGTGTATACGTACAGGTTATGCCTTTGTTGAGATCCGAGTTTACAAGTTATGTGAAGGAATTATACCCGTATATGCTAAACTTGAAAATTACTTAGTTGAACTATTTTTTGTGTGTTTTCTCAATTATGAACGAAATATAGTTTTCACATTAAGCGGTTGTCACATGCCATAAGTAACTTTTCTGACTGATTACTGAATACTCTTATGTTTGCTTTAATGATGATTAGATTATTGTTGATATAATTTCAAGTTACATAACAACCAACGTGTCGTGTGGTTGAAGTAAAAGTAGACTTGGAAATCTTAAACACCTTCATGTTTTATAAATGGAAAAAAGAAATATTGAACAAGAAGACTATACTTAAAAATGAATATCAAAATTTTTAATAAACATTAGTTATTAAAAAATTAATGAATATTTCAAACTAATTCTTGATATCCACATAGAAAAGAAAGACACAATACTTTTGATATCAAATGAATGTTAAATATGTATTTTTGAATTGTATTTTAAAAAAAACATATGTTGAGTAGTGCAACAAGATATATAGTTAAAGGAGAAGAAGATAAAATATATAGATTCAAGAAAGTTTTGTTTGAATTGAAACAAACACTTAAAAGTGTCATATAAGAAAATTGATTCTTATTTTGCGCAACATGATTTTGAGAGAGTCTTTTTAAGCATACTTTATATGTTAAATTTGTTAGTACTAGATATATTCTTATTCTGTGCTATATGTTGATGATTTAATATTTACCAACAACAATTAGAAGATGATTGTAGAATTCAGGGAAGCTATGATCAAATGTTTTGAGATGATAGATTTAGGCATGTTCTATTTTCTTGGCATTGAGATCATTCACCAAGAAGATGAGATTTTTATCTCCCAAAAAAAATATGCAGGTGATATTCTAAAGAAATTTAAGATGGAGAATTCAAAATTAGTTTCCATGCCAATTGAAGGAAGGTTAAAATTGACAAAAGAAAGTGAAGGTAAAAAGGTGGATGCAACCTAATACAAAAGTTTGATTGAAATATTTAACTATAATTAAACCAAATATAGTATTTTGAGTCGGGTTGCTTAGTAGATTTATGGAGGAGTCACGTGCTTTTCATCTGCAAGGAGCAAAAAGAATTCTTCATTGTATCAAAAGTACGCTGACTAATGAATTTTTTACACTAATAATGATGTGAAACTTGTTGGATAAACAAATAGTTATTGGGCAGGAGATGTGGAAACAAGGAAACACAAGTTTAGGATATGCATTTCATTTAGGTACTAGTGAAATATCATGGTCTTAAAAGAAACAACTGATTGTTGCACTTTCTATCGATGGATCTAAATACATTGTAGTAACCAGTTGTGTTACATAGGAAGTATGGTTGAGAGGAATTCTAGAGGTGGTGCACCAAAAGCAAAATACTCCCACATAAATATTTTGTGACAAGTCTATAATTGCATTAAGCAAAAATCCAATATTTTATGAGCGATCCAAACACATTGATATTCAATTTTATAAAATACAAAATTTAATAGCAAATAAAGAAGTGGAGATTAATTATTGTCCAACTGAAAACAAGTGACTGATATTCTTACAAAACCGTTAAAGACAAATTATTTTACAAGTTAAAGAAAATGCTTGGAATGATAAAAGTTTGATTTAAGGGAGATAATATCAGAAAATTAAACCAAGCCAATAATATTGACCGATGAATATCTGCAACATCAACTTGAAATTTTTACCATTGTCCACAATGGTTTCATCGCCTACAAAAGGATGTGAAAAAAATAATATACTGCACCATCTTTGATTTCCTTCAAAGTTAAGAATGAGAAATGCTACTTAACAATTAAATTTTATTATTTTAATACCTTGTAATGCGTATAAAAGGCCGTGTATGTG